AAGATAATAGGACCTGTTGTACGGGCCTTTTTTTTTTTTTTTTTTTTTGCCTGAAGAGGATGCAACAGAGAATGGGAGAATGGTCCTATCACTGAAGATCAGATGTTCCCAACTGCACCAGAGAGCAATTGCATAGGACATTGACGATGTTGGAGAAGGGTCTGGCAATTGGTTTGAGCATTTACTAAAATCCTTTTAATCCTTCAAAATCCTCCAGAACCACTGGTTAGTTAATCCACGTAGGTTTCTTGCTGGATTGTCAGGGTTCTTAATCCCATTCTACAGATAAGTGATTCAACAAATGTCTGACTTTACAAAGGGCAAAAACAAATGTGGGATCCTGGTCTCCTACCAGTATATCCTGTCTGTAGATCAGTCTGCCGGCACTTCAGAGTGGCCACTATATAGAAGAAGCTAGTCTTGAGTCTCCTCATCTCACTGAAAGTTACATTTTTCTGTCAAGTTGGTAGGAAATGCTTTTACACTGGAGGATGCATTTCATGTTGGTGGTGGAAGTTGGGAGGGAGGGTGTTCCTGGCTTTCAGTCAGCCTTTCAGAAGCCAAAGAGGAGAGCATTAGCTGGCCAAACTGGTCCCAAGGTATGAGTTTCTTGGCCATGTTCTTGAAATCTCACTTAAAATGGCCACAGGTCAGGTGATTCCTGCTCCCTCCCACTGTTTAATTCAAACTCTTCCTAAAGGATTTTCATTCACCCAGGTTAGGGTGAACTCCCATGGCCTTGCTCTTCCTTTGCTTGAGATCATTGCATTGAAGGACATCTGCTGAAAGGGAAGGAATCCTATCCGTGTGTGTGGGGGGTGGGGGAGCATTGGATTTGGATTTTTAAAAATGGCCTGAGTCCCTTATATCTTATTTATTTGTTTTTAAATCTTTGTACTTTGTTTGTGTTCTGTGAAACTTTTTGCTTTAGCCTTCCACTTTTTCAGTTTTTTCTTTTTTTAATTTATCATTGTTGATATTTAGTAAATTCAAGCCTCCCTATTCAGGACTCAGAAAGCAACCAGAGCTTCTATTTCATGACACCAATTTCTGCTCCCTCTTCTCTCCCTCTCATGAATTCTACAAGTGTTTAGCCTGTCAGAAAGGCTGCCGGTGTCCCAGTGGCCTCCCAGGTAACAGGATGGATGGGCATCATGGGTGTTGTGTTTTTTTCTCCCCCTCTCTGTTTCTCTTTTTCTGCAAGGGAAGCTAAATTGAGGTGCATATATTATCATAATTTCCACAGTTTCATGGAATAAAGTTTAGGGGAAAGGAAGAGTAGGGAGAGCATAGAGAAAGCTAGAAAGACAGAGTCCCATTTAAGAGCGTTCAGGGTTTCAGGCATCCAAGGCAAACACCAAAAACCTTTTTCTTCCCCCTCTGATAGGTGTCCAGGATCTTTCACTCATCTTTCCTGACTAAGTACACAATTTTAGAAGGTACTACTATAGACTGGTACAGATGAGAGTTCACATTCACACATGCTCAGATCCCAACTTCTATTTTCGTGTCTCTAAACCAAGAGTCCTGCATCCTTCCAACTGGCCCTAGTGCAGAATGCCAGTTGCCTATTTGTGTCATGGAGCACGCTGTATCACTGTTTGCACCTACCTGCTGGAAAATTCAGCAGGCAGATGGAATGGTGGCTTCCACATACTCAGGCTCTCCCCCTTCTCCTGGGCAAACCCTGCCCTTCCCCTGCAATGCATAGGGGCAATGCCCATCCCCTCATCCTCCCTATCTCCCCCACCCCAGAGTACCAGCTTCAGCTGCTGGCTGAGACATAGGTCACTTCCCTGAGTGCCTCTGGTTGCACCCTAACTGAAGCACCCCCATCCCAGTGTCAGGGAGGGGACCAAGCAGGCAGTGTCTCCGCAGCTTGGGCCTCTGCCGCAGTGACCACTGCTAAGAGGTGTGTCTCATTGCCCCCCTCCCCCATTAATCCCATCTGCTGTGTACCAGTGGCCAGCCCCAATCACTTCTCCAGGTCTCTTGCTCTCCCCCAGGGCATCTATCTCTTTTTGAAGATATAGGTTCTCACTGCATGATCGCTTCTCCCTTTGGGGAAAACTACTCCCACCACTGTCTTTAGCCCCAAACAGCCCACTCTCACTTTCCACATGTTGCTTCCCGCCTTTCAAATGCATCCCACTCCCCTGTGCTCTTCCAAATCCCTGCATCTTTCAGAGAATCTTGGCCAATCAGGGTCAACAAAATGGTATACAAGGGTACTCAGGTCCCATGAGCTCAACAGTCACCTGACCTTGCCTGGTTTGTTTTCCTGCCCCAGGGATCTTTTTCTTACCTTAATTCTCAACCATGACATTGAGGTTCGGGGCGATGGCAAGGGCGAGGTCTTTAGGCCCCTCTCTGGAACGACTACTGGACACTGCAATAGGCACGATGCTGGATTCAGCTTCAGACAGGACTCTGGAACCGGCTCAGGGCAGAATGCTGTGGCTGGTTTCGTTGCAGATTCTGG